TGTCAATAAGATAAATTATGTTTCACTAATACTGGTATATTAACGAATAATTTAAAAAAATTCTAATCCATTTAATATATTTATTAAATAATATGTAAAATTAAAAATATCAAAATATCTATACTATCTTATTAAGAAAATTCATCAAAAGTCTTAACGTCTTAAAATTCTAAACGACCAAGATACTCTTTTCATTTTTTCACCTCTTCCTCTCCTCATATACACTCATTCCCTCACATACATTCACCTCTCACATTCAAGGGATTTTTTTTAAATTATAATTTTAAATTTACACTTTATATCCATATAATTAGTTAATTAATTACTTTACGTCTTTTACTTTTAAATGTTTCATTTTAAACATATATTAAATTAGCATACATAATCGTATGTCAAATAAAACATGTTTAAAAAATACATTTTTATTTTAACAAGTTACATCATTATAATCGTCTCGTTAATACATTCGAAATGAGTCAAATATTGAATAGTTTTTTACTTAATTATATTATTATATATTATATATACTGTGAAAATTATTTTTAATGTTTACGATTTATACTTTTATAGTTATTTATTTATATATATGCTATACATTTTGGGGTTAGGCTGTCCAAATTGCACTGTATAATATGTTCTTGGGTTTTTTTGAAATATATATATACATGTATTAATTCAACTTTAATCTGAGCTTCTGGACAAGAAAGAGGGTAAACAGTTGAATTTTTTTTCTAAAACCCAACTTTTTTGGTCTTTTCATGGCTTATGATCTGTCAATTTTGTAATTTTCTTTATTGGTTTTGAATGTTTGTCTTAAAACTCAAGTTTCTTGGTTATTTGCTCTTGGTGTAAATCGAACACATTTGTGGAGTCGTTTAAATATGTGGGATTTTAAATATATTGGATTTTAAACTGTCATACAATTTTTTTCATCGATAGTCTTTAATTGGAACCATAACTCTTATTTATTCAAATTGTATTAATATGTAAAGACCAAGTGTAACATATATCATCGTCAACTCTTGTCTTATAAAACCAATGAAACTTCAAAATCGTTAAAATTAATGGCTCCCGCCGCATTGCGCGGGTACACAACTAGTAATATTGTAATAAGAAATGTCACGCTAGCAATTTTTGCACGTGGACACCCATGCGAACAAGGACATAACATATAAACCTGACAACTTGTGTTATGTCATCTTAGTTCAAATAAAAATGTTACTCATTGCTATAATCTCGGTTTTGGGATACTACTAAATTTTTAATAAAAAATTAGGATTAAAAACATATATTAAATTTTGGTAAAGATGTTTGATTAATTGTATAATGTCTAAGTAATAAAACATTAAAACTAAAAATACGATGTTTTAGTAGGAATTGATTATGCTATAATAAAATAATTTTAAAAGTACAATCCTGCAATAAAAAATGTCACATCAACGGTATATTACATGTGGACTGCCTACGTGGACAGTAAAGTGACATGAAAACATGATATAATAGGTAAATTAAAATCAAAAGATAGTCTAATGCTATAAAAAGATAATTTTTTTAAAGTACTATACCTTAATAAAAAATAATTTAAAAATGTATTATTTTAATAAATAAAAAAACTTTGAATACAATAAGATTTTTTGAAAAATCAGTTGTTATTTCATACATTTTACCATTAATTTAATTAATAAACAATCACTTATAGTTTACGCTTCACAATAATGTAGTAACCACGACGGGTTTTGTCGGTAGCTTATTACGCTATTCATTTTCTTTGAGAAAAACTTCAATTTTGGTACTTGAAGTTTAGTGAAAAAAATCTCAAGGTGGAACATGAACTTTGATAAATATAGGAACTATTTATTCAGTAAGTGAGGATGACAACTCTTACTCAGTTAATTGTTGCATTCGATATGTTTTGATGTACTAAAATCTTGTGCATCAAAATAAATTATAGGGTTGACTCTTATCGGTAAACGCTTACCAGGTAAGCAATTGGGTAAACGGCCCCTAAGGAACCGTTTACCAAACGTTTACTTACCAGATCACATTACCTTACTGGATGAATATGGTAAGGACCAAGAATCTTACTCGGTAAGAGCAAAACAAAGACCAAGAGTTTTACCCGGTAAATGAGTGCGACAACTCTTATCACAGTTAGCGCTTACCGGATAAACTGTTGCATACAATGCCGTTTTAGTAGACTAAAATATTACCGGTAACTCGGTAAATAAGTGATAGTATTGAATTTTACCGGGAAGCGTTTACTGGGTAAGTGTTTAGTAAATGACCCCTAACTATATCTATT